GAGGACCCCAAAGGCAGAGTGCCATGACRGAGCAGTGGGGCAGAAACCAAGAAGACCCAGTGTCCACTTGCTCAGCCACTGCAGTGGCCCCTGAGGGGCCTGGCGTTGGGGTCCTGGGGGGGAGCAGAGCGGCCGAGCCACCCTGCATTCTCCTTAAAGCTCCCCGTCCTTCTTTGTTGTCCAGGGACTGAACCCAGGGGAACTTGACTATGGAGCCGTATCCCCTGCCCTTTTTATTTTGAGACAGGGCCGTGCTAAATTGCCTTGAACTTACAGTCCTGCCTCCCGAGCTGTTGGGTTACAGGCGTGGCCACCGTGCCTGGCTGTGGCTGTTCTTAAACAGTTTATTCTTGAGAATATGAACCATGAGGTCTATATTCTCCAAAGAGGATGAGGATGACTAACAGACTCACTGGAAGATGCTCAGCCTCGTTAGTCATGAGGGAAATACAGATTCAACTGTAACCAGGAGCCACATCACACCCACTCAGAATAGCGAGGACCGAGAGGCCGCGGCAGGTGGTCAGTTTGTGGGGAGGCAGGCTGGGCACACCACACTGGGGGAAGCGTGGCAGCTCCTTAGAGGTGAAACCTAGACTCACTGCACAACCACACCATCCCTTGCTCAGAACTTATAGGCAGCTGTAGTGCACTGACCTCCCGAGGGCACCAGCAGAGCTGCCGGCAAGCAGGTGTGTCCACAGGGTGACCACGGCCAGGGCTGCAACACTCTGCATGAGTGCAGCTCCACAGGGGAGCCCTTGCAGCCACTGAGCCAGCCGGCAGCCATGACCTGTGGTGTCCTGGAGGAGGCAGTGTCAGGCGCTGGGGTGGAGGGGCCCCTGGCCACCGTCTCCATCAGGATGTCTGCAAGATGTGTGCAAGTGCCCCAGCCCTGCAGGGTGCCGAGTGTCGCTCACACCTCCATGTGTGTGGTGTCGCACGCCCGTAATCACAGAGACTCAGAAGGCTGGGCAGGAGGATGAGAAGTTGCAGGCCAGCCCCCCAGCAACTTACTAAGATGCTCTCTCAAAATAGAAAGTAAAAAGGCATGGGGACATGGCTCAGTGGCCCAGCACCTGGGGTTCAACCTTGGGTACCAAAAAGCAAGTAAAAATAAAAGTGTCTCTGTTTGCGGCAATTCTGTCGCGGTTGTGTCATGGGCCCCTCTGTCACCGAACCCCTTGGCCATGTGTGGAGAGAGGGGGCAGTGGACAGGCAGGGCAGGGGTTTCTGCTGGCCCTGGGCCCCTTGCAGAGGAGAAGGGAGAGCTCACCAGCCCTACCCCGCCCGTCCCTGCCCGGCCCCAGCAGTGGGGATGCAGGACATGGTCAGCTCCGAGTCTGCAGGAGCAGAAGGCAGAAAGCTGCTGGGGGCGTGGGGTGCCCCGAGTAGCACGTGGGGCACGCGGCTGATATGGTGGCTGCGCCTCCGGACAGTGTGGGGTCAGGAGGCGCAGGACACTGTCTTAAGAGCCGCTCTCAGGCCCTGAGAGAGTTCCTGGCTGTTTTCCTGTAGAGTCCTGGGGACGCAGACTGCTGCCCCTTCTCTGGTGGCCTCTGCGCTGCGACGCAGGCTGGAGCTGGTCCTGCGCCGTCTCTGTCTCGCTGTCTGACTCTGGGTTAATTGTTAGCACTGCTTGTATGCTAATTTCACAGAAATAACCCAGAGGATTTCCTTCTGTCTTCTCCATTCCAAGAACATTCTAAATATCATGGGAATTATCTTCTCGTCAATGTTGAAAGATCCCATCTGTGAGTTCTTAGAGATCGTTGCTTTTTACATTTTTTTGGAGAATGTACTTCATTCAGCTTGCGGCGTGTTAGGACAGAGCAGGCTGCTGTTTCTGCTGGCCTTGGGCCCCTTGCAGAGGAGAAGGGAGAGCTCACCAGCCTTACCCTGCCCATCCCTCCCCGGCCCATTTCTGTCCACAGTATCCCCAGCCCTTTCCCCTGCTGCGGGGCATCTCACACTTGCTGCCTGCCCCGGTTTGCAGAGCCACATCCTACGCCAAGGACTCTGGGCTGTTGTCTTCTGAGGCTCAATGCTGCTGTTGGCTCCAGGTCCTGTCCTCTGTGGAGGCTGTGGGAACAGTGTGGCCCTGGTCCCCAGCTGTCAGGAACCTGCCTGCTCAGGACCGCATGGCGAGCCCAACTCTCTGGTTCTGCAGGGCTGGAGCCTCACTAGAGATGCCGTGCTGGGCTCCGCACGTGCTGGTGCATCTGGTGTCTGTCCTGCTGTTCCTGGGCCAGGCCCTGTCCGGCTAGGTGTGCTGACTCTGAGAAGCATGTTGAGTCTCTGAGGCTGGCTGTTGTGGGAGACAGAGTTATGAGTCATCTGGAATTTACATTTCTCTTTCTATAGTGATAAGATACATATGACATGGAATTTACCATTTCAGTCTGCTTACGTGCAGGGCTCAGTGGCAAGAGCCCAGCCACAGTGCCATGCAGCCAGCTACTCTGCTTCCAGAATGTTCTCCTCCAGCCAGCCCAGCCTCCACCTCTGCTCCCGGCCTCACACAGGGAGTTGGCAGGACTGCCCTGAGCACCTGCTGGCTTCTTGCTCAGTGTAGCCTTGCTGCTGTGTCGATTTCTGACTGAGCTGCTGGCCATGTCCACTGCTCTGTCGAGGCATGAGGGTGCCACTCTCCCTGCGTCTCTGCCCGCACTTCCTGTTTTCTGCTTTGTGGTGGTCATGCTGGTGGGCCTGGGGGTCTTCCCTTGTGGTGCAGACTAACTTCCGACTGGTCTTTGTAAGAACTCTGTGAGGCTCGAAAGGCCCCCGACACGTTTCCGGCTTGGTTCCAGGCCAGCCTGGCAGGCGGCCTCTGCCTTCCTCGACCACAGAGCTCCCGCCTCGCTCTCCTGCAGCGGGATCTGTGACATGCCCATCTGCAGGTGTCCCCCGCCCACCTTGGCATGCTGCACCCTCCGGGATGCCTGGGGTCCCCTTGGGCTGTGTCCACTGCCCAACACAGTGTCCTGTGTTCAGCCATGTACAGAGGCTTGGTGTTGGGGCTGTGGTGGTCCTAACACCTGTGTCCCTGTGTCCCTCCATGGAGTGTGTGCTGTGTGGAGCCCACGTGTGCTAGATTCTGCAGGGTCCCTGCCCCACGGCCGTGGTGGCCTCTTTCCCCACAGAGCCTGAGCTTCCCCAGCAACGGCAATGGACATGAGCATATTGGGACACCTCCAGCCAGAGAACCCAGTGCCCCTCTGCCCCTGAGGTCCCCAGTCCCAGCAGTTGCTTTCCCCTGAAGGCACATGCTTCTCTGGCCTTCATTCTGCCATGTGAACCTGAATTCTATCGACTCCAAAAAAAGAGGCTGTGAGGACTTGGAGGCTGGATTGGAGGTGCGAAGGCTGCTCATGACGACAGGCTGGCCATGGACACCTTCATGGTGTCACCATCCACCAGGACCCAGTGTCTCTCCCAGCCTTAGACTTTAAATGGATGATATCATCTTCAGCTACAGGTTTCCTCATCAAATTTATGCTTAAGCAGTTTGTGTCCTCTGTGCCCAGCTTGCTGTGAATGGACGGCCAGGGTTGTGAGCTCTCGGGGGTCTTGTGGAGCTCTGCGGTGGTCATCAGGGCTCCAGGGACGTTCAGACACTGGCGCCCCTGCCCTGTTCCTCAGGCTGCTCGGTGGGGCCTCCAGGAAGGCGGCTGTGCCTGCTGAGCCCTGCCCTGGGTCCTTACCCAGGTGCTCTCACCTCTCTCAGGGTGAGGTGAAATTGCCCTTTTCCTGTTTCTCTGCTTTAGAATTGGGCTGTGGTGGTCCCAACAGCCTCAGCTGCGGGCCTTTCTCACAGACACAGCATCCCACGTTTGCCAGAGTTAGCCAATTGAGGATCAAAAACGTGTGGAAAGCCCTGAGTCGTCCTGAAAGCATAGATTACCCTGGAGGCAATGGTGCAGGTTCTGTGCAAACTCTAGCCACTGTTGGAGGGCAGGGGGAGCGGTGTGCTGTCCGGGGGAACCCACTGGCCACAAGGAGCGACTGGGTCGTGTTTATTTATTTTTCCCTTATTTTTTGTCTGTGCATGGTAGTTATACCTGTGGATGGGATTTATTGTTACATATTTGTATCCTGTCTATTTTTAACTCTGTCTCCACAGTTTAATTTGTAGCAGCCCCAAATGAGTTGTGTCAAGAGCTGAGCACCCAACCTGGCACGCCTGTGATCCCAGTGGCTCCGGAGGCTGAGGCAGGAGTTCAAAGCCAGCCTCAGCAATGGAGAGGCACTAAGCAACTCAGTGAGGCCCTGTCTCTAAATAAAATACAAATAGGGCTGGGGTAGGGGCTCAGTGGTTGAGTGCCTCTGAGTTCAAACCCCGGTACCAAAAGGAAAAAAAAAAAAGAGACAGAGAGCTGAGCACCCATGGGAGGGCTCAGCTGCCCTTACCATGCCCTCAGGGGAGTTGGGGGAGAGACACTATAAGGTGCCAGCACTTCCCCAAAGAGAGAAGAGCTAATGGCCTCCCTCATTTCGGTGTGAATCAGCTTGTTCTAGAGGCAAGGTTTGCACAAAAGCAGTCCAGATTGCTGCTGTGGTGACGTAGGCTCCTTCCTGGGTGATGCCCAGCCCTGCTCCCCAGAGCCACCACAGGGCCACGGCTTGCCTGGCACCTGCGGTGTGGGCTGTGTTATAGTCTGTCCTGTGGTCCGTGACACAGGAGGTCAGGGCCATGTTGGGCCTGAGGATCAGGAGCTTGTGAGGACAGTGGTGGCTGGCAGGGCAGGAACTGGGACCTTGGTGCAGTGCCAGGCAGTGTCCTTGCTGCTGCCATCCTGGCCCAGACTTGGTGTCTGCATGCCACCCTTCTGCTCACACCCTGGAGGCCACCCTCTACGGGACACGGGACCCGGGAGGACACAGACCAGCACTTGGGGGCTCAGAGACACATGCGCGGCCACACTGCGCCTGCCGACMACAAGCCCTCCCCACTGGAGGGCGCCAGGGCCTGTGGCCTGACTCTGCCTTTCTGTCCCCAGGAGCCACCAAGGACATGGGGAAGATGCTAGGTGGTGACGAGGAGAAGGACCCTGATGCCGCCAAGAAGGAGGAGGAGCGCCAGGAGGCGCTGCGGCAGGAGGAGGAGGAGCGCAAGGCCAAGTATGCCAAGATGGAGGCCGAGCGCGAGGTCATGCGGCAGGGCATCCGTGACAAGGTGGGCACCACCTGGGCCACCAGCGGGTCACCACAGGCTCTAGGACGTAGTCCTGGGGTCTCATCTGTACTAGGGGCTTGCCGTGGGCTGGCCCTCCTGCTCCTGAAAGGTTGGCCCTTTCTCCCGGGGCCAAGAGAGCCCTGCAGGAGTGCATGGGCAGGACCTTGGCCTCCCTTGGGGTTAGTCCACCCCCAGGGAGGGGGCCCAACATTTTGGGTCTATAGATGGCTGGACAGTGAGGCCTGAGGAGCTGTGACGGGCAGTCATGCCTGCTTCTGAGTTCTCTGGGTGACCTTTGACCTGGGGCTGCCAGAGAGGACTGTTCCTTGTCACAGATGGGGAAATAGGGGCAGAGTGGGCTCTGAGTTCAAGGCTGTGTTGGCAGAGAGGCCCATGTGTCTAGACTCTGACTGCCACTGGGTCCATCCCCCCCCAGGAGCACAGCCCTGTGTGTCCACCCTCCTCCCTGCAGATGGGGTGGGGGCTTGGAGGAGCCTTGGAGGAGGGCAGAGGCCCCACCCCCTCTGTGGGCCTGCAGTGGCTGGGGGAAACCAGGTGCAGCAGGGGCTCTGTCCAGGGTCTCTGGGTGGGGCTGGGTGGGGCAGAGTGGCCATGAGGCCACCCATGGCCCCTGTGCCCAGTGGGGATCTTTGCCCCCCACACAGAGGTGGGCTTGGGGTAGGTTGGGACAGAGCTTTTCCTGGGTCCCTCCTGCAGCTGGTCTAGTGCCTAGCTCTGAGTGCCATAGGCCTGGTGGCCAGGAACATGGGGAGGGGGCGTTGCCGTAGTCCTCTGGCTCAGACTCCCTGTGATGCCCAGGCTGGGGGTGGGACGGCTCAGACCCTGGAGACAGCCAGCTCTGCTGAGCCTTGCGTAGAAACTAGACATGGGCAGAAGAAGTGGGTCGGGGTAGGTGACACAGCCAGGCACAGCCAGGGCCCACAAGGGCCATTTCAAGGGCTCCCCTCCCCACCCTGCCCCAGGAGCCTGCACAGCGCCAAGCCCTGTCCGTGTACACCCCAGTGACACCCCCTCCTCTGTCACAACACCCCCTTAGTCCCTGGATGGTTTCTGGGGTCCTGCAGGAAGCACCTGCTGATTTTCCCTGGACAGCAGCTCATGTGTCCTCCCTGGCCCCACAGACCTGACCTGCTGCAGCCTGAGTCAGGCTGGGCCTCAGTCAGAGGTAGGTGGGGAGGCAGACCCCGCCTCGGCTGTGTCCTGGCTGACAGTGTATCAGGAGAGGGCATGGGTGGGAGGAAAAGGGAGGGAGTCACAGACAGAGACAGCCATTCAGAGGAGAGGCAGGCAAACAGGAAGAGACAGAGACAGGGAACAGTGATGATGGAGAGCACAGAGCCAAGGGGAGGCAGGGATGGTGTGGGATGTGCAGAACTCAGGGGTCAGGAGGAAAGGTGGAGGAAAAGGCCGGTGCCCTCTCCACTCTGTTTCCTGGAAATTTTAAAGAAATTCATCTTCCAGCAAGTTCAGCAAGCATGCACCAGGCTGGATTTGGGAAGAGACATGGAGAACACTGAAGCTACAACCTCAAAATTAGGCACTCTGGCTCAAAGGGGAGGGTGGTCCAGCAGGGAAAATCTACAGAGGCCTAACCCCGCCCCCGCACCCCCCCACCCCAGCGCCAGGAGCTGCAGGAGGAGCCCTGCTGTGCTGCCTGGTCCCACCCAGCAGGGAGCTCAGGAGGTGGTGGGCTCCCATCCTCACACCTGCTGCCCAGACCCACGTCCTGATGCTGGCACAGCCCCTGACCTTGGGCCTTTGCAGCTGGTGCCCGGTGCCCTGTTCCCCACAGGTGGAAAACCCAGCCCTGCCAGTCAGTTGTGCCTCCCCAGATGCCCTTGCTGGCCAGACCCTGCTGCTCACTGGCCCTGACCCCCCCAGCCTCCCCTGGGCTGCATGTACCCCATCTCAGGAGCTGGGGGGTAGGCAAGCTGCTGTCTAAGGCTTCCTGAAGATGTGGGGCTGAGGGCTGAGCCCAGCTCCCGAATCTGTGAGCCTCCAGTGACCCAGGTTCCAACAGAGGGAGAGAGGTGGGCATACCATTTGGGTCTGTTTCAGGTGGTGGAGATCATTCCTAGAGCAGTACCCTCAGTCCCCATCACAAAGCTGTGGAGTGTGTTGGGGCCAGGAGGGGAGCCTGGCACCCCCAGGCTTGATTTGCATACACATAACCTGATCTGTATGCTTACCATCTGATTTGCATATCCTCACCTGATTTGCATGTCCACCCCCTGTTTGTGTGTGAGCTGCTGGATTTGCATACGAACCACTGATTTGCATGTGTTTCCAGCCACCCACGGTAGGTGACTGAGCCAGAACCTTCCTTCTGGGAAGGAGATGAGGCTCTGGCAGGAGTTAGCCTGTGTGGGTGCCCACCCAGAGTCTCCCTCCCTGAGTCCCCTGTGCTGGCTCAAGGCTCAGCCGGAGCTTGTGCGGATGCTGACAGGTTCCAGGGGGTGGTCTATCTGGTCATGTTTGGGGCTCCAGTCATGGATTGGCACTTGTGGCCTCTCAACAGAGCTCTCAGGACTGCCTGTCTGACCTCTGATGTCAACCCCTTGGGGCCTTGTCGTGGTCTGGCCAGTGGCCCTTGAGCTGGCTAGTGGCTCCCAGGTTCTCTTCTTGGGGTGCTGCAGAGCCAGTCCCATCTGTGTGCTGGCCTGACCTAGTTTCTGGCTGCATCTCTGTCCAGCCCACACACATCTCCCCCTCCCCTTCTGGCCCCAGCTGCYGCCTGCGTGGGGCAAGGCTGTCCTAGGAGGCAACCTAGGTGGGTGTGATGAGCGCCCGTTGTTGTCCTCTCACCCCACTGAGCTCCTGGTGCTGTAAGGTGCTGGCAGGTCATCCCTGTCAGCATGTTCTTGGGCTACCCTCTCACCTGTCATTGAGATCCTCCGCTCCCACCTCTGTTAAAGATGAGAGGGGCTGAGAGGACAAGGAAAAAACCCCTTTACCTCTCCTTGGTTGGCAACCTCTGGTCAAGGTGTCTCTTACAAAGCCACTGTCACTGGATTTAGGGCCTCACAAACCCAGAATGATCTCATCTCCATCCTTACCTTATTACACCTGTGAACACCCTGTTTCCACCTGGGTTCAGTGGCTCACACATGCAATCCTAGCTCCTTGGCAAGTTGGAGGCCAACCTGGGCCCCTGGGCAAGCTCCTGTCTGGGGATGGGACTCAGGGGTAGAGTGCTTGCCTAGCATGCTTGAGGCCCTGGGCTTTTCTCCTACACTGGAAAAAACAAGAGACTTTGGGACAGATCCAGGAGAGGAGAAGTGGGGTAGACAGAGAAGTGCAGGTGTGTGGGCCAAGGTCACACGTAAGTGGGATTCCAGGGCACTCTGGCAGGGAACAGCTCACTGGCATCTAGGGCCCTTGGCCAAGTTGGGGGTGTGAGACCAGGTGGAGGACAAGGGACTGGGATGGGAGGCTACAGTGAAGGCTCTGGTTCTGGAGCTGGGCTCCAGGCTTCAGGGAGCAGGGCTGGAAGAATGGGTTTGGGGCCCACAGCTGCCCAGGCTATGCCCACCTCCATGCCTTTTAGATGCTCCTCTGTTCTCTGGGTTTCCCTCCCCACAGGGACCCCTTGTGGTGGGATCACTTCTCCTTGATGGGTCCTCCAGTGGGTGGTGGGTTGGGGGCTTCCTCTCAGGCCTTTCTCAGCCACTTGGAGCACATTCTGGGTCCCTGGCTTGTCCCCCAGTGCAGGCCGTTGTCTCGGTCCCCTGGCCCTTTCTGCCTGGTGAGCCCCACAGAGGCAGGACCACATGAGCACAGCCCCTTGCCTGACCTGCCCTCCCTGCCTCTCCCTGCAGTATGGTATCAAGAAGAAGGAGGAGCGCGAGGCGGAGGCGCAGGCGGCCATGGAGGCCAACTCTGAGGGCAGCCTGACTCGCCCCAAGAAACCCATCCCTCCGGGCTGCGGGGACGAGCAGGAGGAGGAGGATGAGAGCATCCTGGATACAGTCATCAAGTACCTGCCTGGGCCACTGCAGGACATGTTCAAGAAGTAGCGCCCGACCTGGACAGTGCCGGGAGCYGGAGCCCCCGCCCCGCCCCCTGTACAGACAGACCCTTGCGGAGGCCCGGAAAGGACATCGGGAGCAGAAGCAGCACCCCCAATGCCAATATAAGCCATAGTCCTAGGTCCATCCTGCCCGCGCCCTTCCCGCCTCGGGAGCCTCCACCCTTTCTTTCCCCGCACTGCCATCAACACCCCCAACCCTGGGTAAGGGCGCAACCCGGGGCCCCTGCAGTCCGTGCCCCTCTCCGTGCTCCTTTGCCTGCTGGTGGTCGGCCCACCCTCCACTACTGTCCTTGCGTTTGCCGCCCACCCAGCCAGGTGGAGGTCAGGGACCTTAAGGGTCAGCCCCTCGACCCTGGGTGCAACAGCCCTGCATGGGTGGCGCTTGTGGGGGCTCAAACTCAGGAGCACAGCCATAGTGGGGGCAGTAGCTGATTGTGCTGATTGGGCTGGTGCCTGTGCCCTTCCTGAGGCCGGCCAAGCTCCAAGCCTTTACCCCATGCACCAACCTGGGTCGCTGGACCCTGCTTCTGTCTTCCTGTCCGCTGGCTGCCCACCCCCTCGCCTCTCCATTGCGGCCCCAGCATTCTCTGTCCCTCTCTTCTAAGGAATACCATGCCACAGGGAACAAAGCAATAGGTTTGGGGGATTCTCAGACAATTCTGAGTCCCTAGGCACCCCTTTGTAGCACGCACCAAGTCGGGCCTCTCCCTGGTGGCCTGTCCTCCATGGGGGTGGCTGTTGTTCCTCGGGGAACCCGGTAGCCACCCACTCCACTCCCACCTTCCAGAGCTAGGGAGGCCGGTGGCTGGAGGGTGCGGGCCCTGGGCTGGGGCCACCAATTGGTCCCTCGTGCAACCCAGTGGAGTTTAGCCAAAAGGCCTGGCCACCCCGAGCCGCCCATCCCTGTTTGCCTCCATCCTGTTTAATTTGCATCACAATCCGTTGAATCTCAGGTAAATGAGGTCTCTGTATTTGATGAGTTTTATCTCCACYGAAAGGCCGTTGTCTTGGTCCCCTGGCCCTTTCTGTTCACATCAAAACTTCATTAAGTGTCCACGAGTTGCGGGCCAGGGGCGTGGCCTGGGGCCTTCATGACCTTACATAGCTCTTTAGAGAAGCCATAACAATTAGACTGCAATACTAACTATGAACGCCCCTCTGTCTGTGGCAGCAGGAGCTYGCCTGGCGCACATGCGCCGGGTTTGCCCTGCGCCTCTGGGGTCCGCGTCTTTTTAAAATGCCTGTTATCACACGTTGAGCAGACTGGGCGTTCTCTCGCGTTAACCCCGCATCCTGTTCCCAGCACATGGGGCGCCCGGCCGCCAAGCTTACCGTAGACTGTGGGTGTTACCTGTCCGTCTGTCCCTGAGCCTCCTCCTGCATGCCGGGGGCCCTCATGTGTGTTCTCTCCAGATGGAATCACAGCCAATAAACAGTGATTCATGCCATGTGGCTACTGCTTCCAGAGTTCCCATTTCGCCTGAGCGTCCCTTTCACCTGTGGGCGCCTATGCCCTGCTTGGTAGGCAGTACCTCGGCTCCTGCTGCAGCAAAAACAAGTTGTCCCCAAGATCCTGACCCATCTCCCAAGGGCAGACCTACCCTTTCAGGCCCCACAGGTCACTTGCAAAGTCTCCTGACGGTGACAGGCTTCCTCCCTCCCAAAGCTCTCCCAGGCCTCAGGGTCCAGATCACTCTGTTGCCCAGGAGTGGGCCCCCCAATTCTTGCCTTGTCCAAAGGTCCTGTCCTGAGTCCTCCCTCCTCCCTGCAGCACTGGGGGACCTGCCAGCTCTCCAGCCTGGTACAAGCACCTGGATCCCAGCCCAGAGAACTAGCTGGTCTGCTTCCCTTCTGGGTGTCCTGCCATGACAAATCTGCTTGACACTTAGCCTCCCTGAGGTGTATGACTGCTCATTCTGGGGGGCCCTCTCCAGGGAGGCAGCGAATCCGGATGTTCTGTGACCTTCCCCACACAAGGACCTTCCAGCAAACCTTGCCCAGAGTTAGAAGGCAGAAAGGCCCCCACAGGAGTCCCAACCCATTGGGTCCTCCTGGGTGCAGGGTGGGGTCTCAAAGGGAACATGGTTTCCTCCAACCACTTGAAGCATCTCCCACAGCCCCTCTCACTGCCTCCAGAGGACACTTCTGAGCTTCCCAGTGAGTCATTCCACTTGTTGGCAGGGAGCAGTTCTCTCTCCTGGGGTCTACATCTATCTACATCCACATCTCCGATAGGACTCGGTAGCATGCTCTGCACTTTGGCTGATACCCACTACCCCAGCATAGCTGTTCATAGAAGGGAAAACCAGGTCTACCTACCACTCATCCTGCCCCATCCCTGCCCTAGTCTGGATTCTGCTTAGGCTTGAGCAGTGACCTGAACATGCAGGTGACCCAGAACATTAGTCAGCTGGTCCTCTAGTTATTGATGGGTCAGACTCTGGCCCCATGGTTCACCCTCAGGTGATGGGGTCTGAGGACTCTGGGGAAGTACACTGGGGTCCCTAACATAGCTGAGCTGTGCGCCAGGCTTGGGGATATCTAAGGTCTCGTCCCTCCAAACAGGTTTTTGTAGTGATGAGAGACATGAGGCATGATAAATATGTACTGTGCTCAAAGTGGCGATTTCTATTCTGGAGGAAAATTGAACAGATAAGAGGGCAGAGTGAAGGCGACAGCTTCCATTTATTTGCTTATTTTTGTGGTACTGGGGATAGAATTCAGGGCCTCACACAGGCTAGGCAAGTACTCTACTACTGAGCTACACACCCCAGCCCTTTACATTTTTTTTTATGTTTTTATTTTGAGGCAGAATTTTGTTAACTTATGCTGAGGCTGGTCTGGAATGTTCAGTCCTCTGCCTCAGCCTCCAGATTACCTGAGAATACAGGCATACACCACCATGCCCAACCAGAGCTATTTCATGAGTGGTCCGGCAGACCCTCGGAGGAGAGATGTGCAGAGGCCTAAAAGGGAGGGAGCTAGGAAGCCCCCCGTGGGCTCGAGACGGAGAGTCAGATGCCTAGGGACAGGGAAGCAGAGCAGTGAGACAAGGTGTTGCAGGGTAGCTTGCCCCATGAGCTGCCAGGCCTGGAGGCCCACTCTGTCCTTAGAAGTCTTTCCCGACAGTTTAGCTGTTATCTTCAACACTGGAACTGCATTTGCAGCAGAGACGACCGCCACCCTCCAGGCTCTGCAGGGGGCCAGCCTCCCAGTGGGCGGCACTGCTGGTACCAGTGCTGTGACCTCCTTCACTCAGTCGTTTCCAGTTACAGCCACTGAACCAACCGTCAAGGGTCCGGAGAAATTCTAAAAGGTCCAGCAATTAACCATTTTGTCTAGCTCTGTTAATCCGCTGCTAGACTAATCCCTCTGAACACCACGAAGCCAGCGGGGCCGGGGAACCCTGCGTCTAAGCCACCTGTCCACACAATTCCCAAACAGCCTGGCTCCTGTGGTCACCGGTTCCTGAAAGGGTGGGCCAGGGTGTGTGAAGGTGAAGCCGGGAGGGATGGGGCCGGGCCGACGAGGAAGGAGCCTCAGAGGAGGACCCCCTTCCCGTGTCGGGACTGACGCCCCCGCCATTCAAACCCGCCACCGCCGCGATCCGCGCGGGGTGCGGAAGTTCCGAGGGCCGCGGTGGAGAGGGCGGGGCCAGCGAGCAGCCTGGGCCAAGGGCCGCGTCCCACAGTGGGTTTCCTCAATTGGCTGAGACGGTCACGTGTAAAATTCTGGCCAATCAGAGACGTCGTCCCGTTTTGGCTCCTCCCCTCCCCCCAAGGCCCTCGTCCTCGTGTTCCGAGGGCGCTCCGGGTCTTCAGGCTGGTGTCCCTACCTCCCGCTGATCCTCCTGCTACGCCCGTGGGTGACGATGCCAACGGGGTCCCTCCCTGGGCACCGAGTCCATGTCCGAGGAGGGCACGACCAGAGTCTGTCCCACCCACTTTCCTGCCCTTCTCAGCTCCTGAACTCCCACGCTGCCCCAAGCTCTGTCCTGGGGAAGAACAGGGCGGGAACTAGCTTGGCCTCAGCCTGAGCTGGCCAGGAGGAGGCCCCTCAGCCAGGTAGGTATGCCCTGGCACTCAAGACAAAGGGCCAAAAGGGGCAGCACAGGCTGGTGGCTCTGAACCCACCTTAAGGTGGAAGGTGATTCAGAGACACCCTCACCTGCATGGCTATGACCTGGGGCCCCGTCCCACCAAGCCCCTCSGTGTCTCCATACTGTTCCCCACTGCCCCCGCACTCAACTGGCCTGGTCCTGGACAGAGCTGGTGGGCCCACAGTGCAGCCTCTGTATGGGGACAGAGGAAGAGGGGGACAACCTCTGTCCTCCCAAGACCCCATTCCGGGGGAGGGTGCAGTAAAAGGTTCATGCCTCTGCTTGCCAGGTTGAAAGGCCTCCTTCAGCACAGACCCTCTGCTCCATGGACAGCACCTGGAAGAGCCTTTCTGCCCTGCTAGTGGAAAGGTCATTCTGACTTACCCATTTTTCACAGCCCTGGAGACCACTGTGCCCCAGGTTGGCCACAGGGCTGAGTTGGATGAAAATACCCACAGGCTTCACAACCCAACCCCAGCAAGGCACCAATTCACTGGGAGGGGCTGGCTGGGATGCCTGGGGTCTCTCCCAGCTCATCAGCTGATGGCCCTCCCCCTGCTGGCCCAGGGCTGGGCTGAGGGAGAAAGAGCAAGTCAGCTTTCCTTCTCCATTTTTTCTTTCTGCAGTACTGGGGATTGAACCCAAGGCCTTGTGCATGCTGGGCGAGCACTCCACCGCTGAGTTTGTCCCCAGCCTTGTTGTGTGAGTCCTTGAGTTCAGTCCCCAGTACCTGAAGGAAAACCACCACAACAAAAAAGCCCGTCATCCAGCAACATGGGAGGCTAACGTAGGAGCACAAGTTCTAGGCCAGCCTCTGCAACTTAGTGAGAGCCCATCTCAAAATATAAAAAGAGAGTGTTCCTTGGTTAAATCCTGGTCAGCAGTGCTTCTTTACTCTGCGGTCAACTGGCCAGTAGGGTGCTGAAGCTCAGGGAAGACCATGGCCCACAAGATGGGCCAGAGTGTGAGCTGTCCCAGCACTGTTTGTGTGTGGTGTGCTTCCCTGCACCTGGACCCAGGATCATTGATGCCTGGGATTTGCCCCACAGATAATGGTCATCAGATTTGAAATTCAGTTTTCTTACAAAACAAAAAAGACTATTTATTTATTTATTTATTTATTTATTTATTTATTTTGCTCTTTAGTAACTGCACTGAGATTTGTGCTGCACAGAGAACAAAGGGAGGGCCAGAGGCTGGGCTGGACTAGGACCTGGAGAAGTACTGAGGGCAGGGTCTGCTGACTCAGGCAGGAGGCCAGGAGGGGACGGAGGTGGGTAGCACCTCTTGCTCTGCAGTGAGCATGCACAATGGTGCCTTCTGCGTGGCTGTGCACAGGCCTGCCCTGCAGTGCTTCATGCGTGGGATGTGTCACAGATGCACCCCCTCAATGACCCACCATGCCAACCCAGGATAGCAGCCTGGAACAAGGATGGTGCTTGGCTGGACCCCTTGCAGAGTGGTAGACAGGTACCCTGTGTGGCTACAGCTGCAACAGCAAGAGCAGAAATATAGCTGAGTAATCTGAGTTCACCACTGAATCCTGGGCACGGATTAAGTAGGAGACTCTAGAAAGCAAACAGTGATGGGTGTCAAATGGCCATGAGAGATGGCCAAGCATACTAGGGGTCAGAGCTGAGCAGGATCACAACCCAGGCAGAGAGGAGAATGCTCAGGCCCAGGACACTGCAGGTTCCAGTGGGTGAGGACAGATTCGCCCTGTAGGGGTCTCCCCGCAACCTGTGGGGACAGGGCCCTCAGGAGGGGTACACTGCTCATCCAAGAGTGCAGGCTGCACAGGGGACCTCCATCAAGGAGTGCAGCATGTAAAGGGGAAAGGGTGACACAGGAGCCATACTGAGGTCACCAGTGGCATACTACATTGGCAGCATAAAACTTTGAGGTGCTGAGCTGATGACCACATGACTCCTGCTGTCTCCCTCTCAATGCCCACCACCCTAGCCTAGTCACCCAAACATCAGGCCAACCTCAGATGAGGGCCATCCTCCAAAGTGCCTGACCAACGCTCCTCAAACCATCAGGGCTATCAGGACCAAGGGCTGGGAAGCTACTACAGCAGACAGCATTTGGCAGATGTCTTTAGGCCAGAGCCCTGGGCAAGAGCTCAGCTGGCATCTTCCTGTACTCAGAACTGCACTCGACCTCAGGGTCACATTCTGACCTTCAGCACGGGAGGCCGCCGCCAGCCATCCTCTAGGACTGGCCTGTTAAGGTCTGTAAACAAGTCTGGATGGCGCCTGGCATTTTGCCAGAGGGAGTGGTTTGTGAAGTAACGCCAGCGAGCCATTAAATGTGGAG